GAGCGTGTCCTCCACCTCCGGCACGCTCCTGTGCGGGTGCAAACCCCCTTTTGGGGTGTGCAACCTCCTTTCCACGTGTGCAGCCCCCTTCCACGTGTGCAACCCCCTTCCACGGGTGCAACCCCGCCTCGGGCTGTTCAAACCCCTTCCGTGTGTGCAGCCCCCTCTTGCACACGTGCAAACCCCACTTTGCACATGCAACACCCCCTTGCACACTTGCGACCCCCCTTCTGGGTGTGCAAAGCCCTCCCACCTGCACGCACCTTTGCACGCCCGTGCACTGAGCCCTCGTGCACCTCCTTGTACCCGTGTCCCTGGCCGTGCCCCACGGCAGCACCCCAGCACCATGGGGGTCCCCGGGGATGTTTGTTCGTCAGCGGTGACCCCGACTGGTCCCTTGTCCCCCGCAGAGCGAAGAGCCCGAAGGTCGCAGCTACTCAACGCTCTCGACGGTGCGGGAGATCGAGACGCAGACAGAGGTGCCGGCGGCGCCGCTGCTGCCTGCCCCGGCGGGGAAGGAGCCGAAGGAGGAGGAGGAGGACGGCGGCAGCAGGGGGGACGACCCCATCAAGCAGGCCATGACCCACTTCGTGCAGGAGAACGGGATGCTGCAGGCCAAGCCCACCACCAACGGCATCTACATCAACGGCCGCGGGCACCTGGTGTGAGCGGGGCGGGGCCGGGGGGGACGCCCAAGGGACCCCTGTCCCCCCCCCCCCCGGCGCCCCCCCCCCCCGGCGGTAACCCGGCTCTGCCTGCCCACCGGGCTGGCTCCGGTCCCCAGGTGTCACCCTGCTGCTGGCACTGGGTCAGGGACACGCACCGTGCCCCAGGACAGGGCTCCGGTCCCCAAGTGTCACGTCGCTGCTGGCATGGGGTCGGGGACATGCACCGTGCCCCAGGATGGGCTCTGGTCCCCAGGTGTCACCTTCCTGCTGGCATAAGGCTGGGGACATTCACCGGTGGCCGGCCAGAGAGGAGGTGACAGCCTGGGTCAGGGCACCGTGCCCCAGGACAGGACAGGGCCCCCGGCGGGGATCGTGCATCGTGCC